TGAGTTAATGATTCGCATTCCAGTTGACTTGAGTCACTATTTTCAGTGACTCGACTTGATCGAGTCAAATCACGAAAAATGAGTCGACTCGACTCAGGTCAGCAGCCGAATTAGTCATGACTCGACTTGGACAGTCGTTATGTTTTGTCGAAACTATCCTGGCATTTTACTGTTGCTATAAGATATCTAAAACTTGGGCAACCTCGCAAGCCAGGGTCTTTTACCTGCGCTCGGGCTCCGGCGAAGACCCTGGTTCCCTCTGGTCACGTGAACCCCCAGATTTTAGGGGTAATTCGAATTGCCGCCTCTTTGCCACGTAGGGAGGAGTGGTAGGGGGAATTCAAGAGCGAAAACTAAAAATCAATAACTATGCCTATGGAAAATACGGCCATTTACGCTCTGTATTAACTCATGTTTTGGGTTTTGTCGGTTTTTGTGTTATCTTTTATGAAATATGTCACCGCTTGAAAGCTTTTTACAACGCAAAGAAAATAAAGCATTAAAGGTCAAATGCACACTTATACAAAGTCAAAGTACAGTATTCAGTAGCTCTCAAGCTATGGCACAGCGAAAGGAAACTCCAAAAATGATTTATCCGAAGTCCGCTTTGTTTTCGGAATGCAAGTGTCACCTTTGTGGTAGTATTATCGGCAAGAAGTATTGCAACCGAACCTATTCTTAGAGGTAGCTGTATGTAAGAGTTAGATACCGAAAACGGAGGCTCTTAGTCAGATACAAACCCGAGGGGCCGTAGGCCCCGAGGGATTTATCTGACTAAGAGCCGACGTTTGAGGTATCTAACTAACTTAGTTCATATTTGTAAGGATTGACCCACAATGAAATTTACTTTATGATATGTATTGTTCTTTAAATGAGTTTGAATTACCATGGTTGTATTAAAAACAAACAGGGCTATTTTGATATGCATCAATTCTCGTGTCGCACTACTGTATACTATCAATGAGAAGTGATTAAATATTCGTTCACCAACCACAATTACGATGAAATATGTTTGAAATAGCTCATACAACCGAGAAGAGCTAACGAAGATTTGTACGGGTTTGTCGAAGCAGAAATTCTCAAGTTGTTCTCAACAGGGTTTTATTTGCAGGATAAAAACCAAATGGGAGGTCTTTCATTGAGATTCAAGACCGAGGCGTGCAGCACCGAGGCTTGAATTTCAATGAAAGACCGACCATTTTCTATTGTCCTTGGGAGGTTGTGGGACGAAATAAGGTTGAACATGCGCATTAAACACGCTTTAATGTGGTTGAGCATGCGTAGTATATCATTTCGCGTCCTACAAGCGAAAGAGCAGATATTACTGTATAAATTCCTTGCACAAGCAAGTTTGATGGTCGGTTCAGCTAGTCCTCGTGCACCGAATGATAAATATTCTACCCAAAGGTAGAGTTTGACGGGCTTTGAGGTACACGGCTGTTGTCTCTTTCTCGACTCAGAGACGTGCAGCGTTTTCTACAGTGTTTCCACAACCCATCATTCAAATTTCCTTGATTTTGCTTTAAAATTTCCTTGAATTTCCTTGAAATGGGATGTAATTTCCTTGAAATTTCCTTGATTAACTGAAGTATATTTCGGCAACTAGAATTCATCAATACTTTTTAATATAGACTGAAGTAAGACAGAATGGTATATTTCTTTCGTAGTAATTCGTACAAATCTTAAAAAGAAAGCCTTTACACAACAATTTTCTCAAAAGTCAACAAATTCACATGACAAATAAATTCATATAAATTCGCATGACAGCGAACACGTGGTGGCCTGCACACAGTATGTTACCTGATTTCCACCTAAAATTCAGGTTGTTGTGCTGCTTACTTAGTTTAATTAATAATTCTAGATTCTACTGACTCGGTCACAGGCACCGCAATAAGTTTTTTTTTACTTTTGCACGCGAACATGTTGGTTATGAACAAAGGAAAGTAATATAATTTAAGATTAATGAAAGGTTCCTGAAAGAATCTTCAAAACACTTCAGTTGATTCAAAAATTCCTTAAATTTCCTTAGAATTTTCAAAAATTCCTTAGATTTCCTTAGAATTTTCAAAAATTCCTTAGATTTCCTTGATTCCTTTTTTTTCCTTGAAACGTCTTTTTTCGGTCAAAATTTCCTTGAAAAAGGAAATTTCCTTGAAAGTGGAAACACTGGTTTTCTAGTCGAAAAGGAGATGTGGGGTTTGAGTTTGGTTAAAAATTCAAGGTATCTAACTCCATAGTGACCTCCAAAAGGGGTCACTATGGAGTTAGATACCTTGCATTTTTAATTAGGCATTCAATTCTATTCATCAACCCCGCTTTTCCCTGTGGAGATATCAAATCCCTCCCCTTGCTTTTAGATTCTTACCCAAATAAAACCCTATTGAGAACAATAGATATCCGCACAAATATGAACTAAAGCGAAATTGCTTCGTATCGCAGAATTTGTGAATTGTGAAATTCTTGCGTGTGATGTCCGATCGGATGACGGATTTTCTAATCTTCCTAAATTAACATTAAATTAAAAGAATGGGGGCAAAAAAACAACACCCAAGACAGTGAAGTCAATCGAATGTTTATTTAATATTAAAGCAGAGCGACTGGAGGGATATCTGCAGAAATGATAAACAACTTCGACATAGCTGTAGGAATTAAGTCAAGAAGGCATCCTCTCACAAGCACAAAGTTCAGAGAAAATGTACATGGTGATGTTATTTTATCTCATCTCCTGGAATTGAAACCATTTGCAATACATGATCACTTTCATGAAAATTTCTTCACAGATATATCATCAGATACATTAGCAACATTATAGACTGAAATTGTCGCTGCATTTGATGACTAGCTAAACAATCGCAAGAGGAACATTCACCAAGCACTTATACCAGTGGACACATCAGAAGATAAAGAGGAATTATTATGACTGTGAATACTGTAACACTTGCACAAATAAGCAACAATGATTTGTATGGCTGTAGCACAGGCTACAAAACTATACCTTAGCTTGAAAGGATTAATAGATGCACAAATCAAATGGCACTTGTTCTATACTATAATGCAGCTATTCCAATGATTAAGGTTAGTGTCACAGACAATAGTTAAATGTACAATTGAACGCTAAAAAAGATACTATTTTAACACATCCATGAGCCTCATGGGAATACAAATTAAATTGGTAGTCATAATATATTTGAGGTGTTAAACTTATTGAAAACTATCATTATCCATTAATCATTTAGCACTCATATTATTGTACATCTAACTATTGTTTGTGTCAACTTTAATTGAAATAGCTATATGGTTACAGTATACTGTATATATACATATATATAATATTCAATTTAGAATTTTGTTCTGGCACTGCTGTATGGGTTTTTGTACTGTCCATGAAGTAAATTGAGTTTATATGATTTTAATTTGTGATTAATTGTGTATTCATTTGGTACCAAGCAAAGTCAAGAATATTTCACAGGCCCAAAATATTTGTCTAATCAGGTAAAATCATTCCCTTTCCATATATAAACTACACTCAACACATAAACATTGTGTTTTGCATACACTACAGCATAAATTGGGTTGCAAATGTCCCTCAAAGCATCAATATCAGCCGTGCTTGTATCTGATGCTTTTTCGTAAAAGATCTCATCATATCTTTCGGTCAGAATTTGCAACCAACTCAAAGCAAACATGCAAGCCAAGTGATTTTTTTATGTGCCTTCGGTCAAGTTTATATGCTGTAGCGGTCATGCAATAACGACTGGTACGTTATAAAATACAACACACAACTCAGACTACGTTTGGCATCATAGTGAACAAAGTTGAGATAACAATATAATGGATGATTGAAAAATAACATGTAGAATTAGTTTTGTCTTTTGGTTAAGTTCAGCTACATCGCAATCAATCTCTTGGTTGTCACATTTTAATGGCTGCTTATTGTATTTATACATGTAAAACCTTTTTAAATTCATATCTATCTAAACGATTTATCTCTGATACTCTGAGTTTTATCGCGCATAATTTTCGAGCTGGATTGTTTATCAAAGGTGCGTTCGCGATATATTGTAACGAGCAGCATTACTCATTTACACAAACGCCATGAGTTGGACGTTCTTCTAACGCTCTTTTAGCGAAAAGCATCAAAGGCAAAAGCTGGTAAATCAGCGACTCGCCATATTACCGATTGGAAAAATTGCCAGTATTTACAGTACACGCCAAAGGACAGCTTTTCCAAGCAAATAACCTGCTTGGGCTTCAAAATAGTGTTTGCATACAAAATAATAGAAAACTGCAAACAAATAAGAAAAATAATACATTTTGAATGTTTTTGCATATTACAATTGAAGTCGCTTTCTCATAGCTTTTCTACAGTCACTCCTCGGCTAGGCTTGCAAACACAACATTTAACCGGAAGTTGTAAATTACAACATATCACATTTCAACCACCCTCCCCTAGGACTTCTTGTTGTCATAATTTTTAGGAGGTCACGTGACCAGAGGGAACCAGGGTCTTCGCCGGAGCCCGAACGCAGGTAAAAGACCCTAGCTTGCGAGGTTGAAACTTGGGTAGTCGAAAATATCGATTCTCCGGTGAACAAGTACGTCCGAAAATGGCTGGAAGTACCTATATCTGGAACATTAAGTAACATCTTTCTAACCCGTAATAAGTTTGGTCTAAATATCATCCCTGCATCCGTCAAGTTCATTCAGTGTCAAACAGTTCTACGCAATGCCCTAAAAACATCTCCAAACGATTCAATTAACGAACTGTGGAAGTCAACTAATAATCATACTAACATTCAATACGATAGCTACAATTCAACTAAAGAAGTTTTAAATAAACTTTCCATTCTCAACAAGAAAATAAACTTAGGGACCGTTTGAAATGTCAAGGTTCCTTTTTCGAAAATGTTTCTAAATTCTCCCTGTCACAACTTAACGCAATCTGGTCGGTATCGCAATCAAAGTTACCAAAGAACATTTTCAACTTTACAATTCGCTATATGAATAATACCCTTCCTACCCGAAAGAACCTCAGTAGATGGGGAATTTCATCAAGTTCTGACTGCTCGTTCTGCTTACACCCTGAATCACTTCTGCACGTTGTTGCTGGTTGTCAACATTACTTGGAACGATTTACCTGGAGACACGATTGCATACTAAAGTTTCTTGCAAAAACCTTTCAAAGTTTAAACGAATGCAAATTACTTGTTGATCTTCCTAGATTTGAAAGCCCCTCGATTATTACGGGTGTTGAATATCGTCCTGATTTACTTGTCGCCACTTCAGACAAACACCTCTACGTTGTTGAACTTACCGTAGGCTTTGAATCAAACCTCACAAACAATGTTAACCGCAAGGAAGCTAAATATAAGAACCTAATTAGAGAACTAGATCAAAACTTTACATCTGTTACATTTATAAATCTTTCAGTCAGTTCGCTAGGGGTGTTTGACAAAGAATGCCATACATTCGTAAAAATGCTAAATGAGTTAGGACTGGATAATCAACACCAACAATATTGTATCAGAAAAATGATATCTATTGCCATCCGATCAACGTACTACATATTTTGCTGTAGAAATAAAGAATGGACAAATCCCGAACTAATGAATATTATTTTAAAGTAACTATTTCTATAAATAATTAACAATTTTTGTATATAAAACTATAACCACGTATAAGTGATTCAAGTAGTCAATTGTAGGTTACCTCAAGAAGTGAGATTTACAATTGTATATATCTATAAATGTTCTATTAATAAAGTTTTCATTATTATTATTATTATAAAGACCTCTCCAAATCATTAAAGACCTCTTCAAATCATTATCTCTCGCCTTAAAGACCTCTCCAAATCATTCCATAAAAGACCTCTGGAAAACAACATCTGAAAGCAAAAACATTCAGTACGACGTCTACACCTCGACAAAGGAAGTCCTTAAAACTTTTACCTCCGGACAAGAAGACAAACTGCAGAATCAGCTGATTTTGCAAGGCTCCTTCTTCTCAAATGTCATTAAGTTTTCACTGTCGAAATTAAACGGTATATGGTCTAAATCCCAATCAAACCTCCCAAAGAACATCTATAACTTCACCATTTGTTACATTAATAACTCACTTCCAACTCGTAAAAACCTTACTAAATGGGGAATATTGTCCAACTCTGATTGCTCCTTCTGTTTAAACCCTGAAACCCTTTTACACATAGTTGCTGGATGTCAAACGTACCTCCCACGATTTACATGGAGACATGATTCTGTTCTGAACTTCATAGCACAAACGCTACAACCTGTAAACAACTCCAATCTTTGCGTCGATCTTCCTGGTTATAAAAGCCCATCAATTGTAACTGGTGACACATTCCGCCCAGACCTACTTCTATCTATCAACTCGGATTGTCTCTATATCCTTGAACTTTCTGTTGGTTATGAGTCTAATCTACAAACAAATGTTGATCGGAAAAGAAGAAGATGCGAAGATCTCATTACACAGCAAAAGAAACAATTTAAGTCCGTAAAATTTGTAAATTTGTCAATTAGTTCTTTAGGCGTTTTCTCAAAAGAATGTCATTCCTTTTTAGATATGTTAACTGATCTA